AATTTTTGTACTTTAACGTGCATGGATACTTCCCGAGGAATTTCTGAGATTCTTTAATGGAATACGTTTCTCAAAGAGACCAGAGACCTATTCAAGGTGACGTTATTTATTCTCGTTTGTAGCACAAGAATATAGTAAGATATCCAAAGGATAATAATAACGTGTACAGAAGAAAAGTTACCAAAAATCTGTGTTCCATGCAATTATCAAACGTGAGAACATCAATATTGTCTGAACGTTCAGCGAGTTGTCGTAGTCTTTGTTCAAAGGATCCTTATGTTTCCTTGAAAATTCATCATAACTTCAACACTTCACAACGATTGGAATGATAAACTTGAAAAGATATTTATTTCCAAGATTTTTCGTTACTACTAAGTGAAGTTCCTGGAAGTGTGGCAGCAGTTGAGAAATTATCGTTTCTTGCGTACTTAAAGCTACACTATCCGGCTCGAAATCATTAAAGAATCAGAATTTCTCGCTACAAAACCAGCGAAGTTGAACACCAGGGATGGGTGCATCTTACGAACTGAGATTATGCTTAAGTGATTGCTTTGGATTGGAATTTGAAGTAAAGTTCTTCTCAAGCTGTATTTCGCACAAGTCAACTCGCGTAATTTTTTTAAGATTCGCTGGCTCATGTGCTTGGAGGTTCATTTTGAAAAGTTTCAGAGAAAATTAAATGGTTGTCGGAAACCATACTTTGATTCTGTTAAATGAGTTTAAACGACCATAGAGAATTCTAAGAATCGAAGAATTGTACCGCTACTAAATTCGATTGTACCGCTTTAGCACTCCATTTTAGAACTGAATATATTGGGTTCGTGAGAATAAATTCATTTCGTAGGCATGAAAGATGAACGTAGTGAATCGTAGTGTAAAGTTGGATAACGTATTGATTAACATGTAAAATTTAGGTTGGCTATATGAAGAAATGAATATAGGTCATAATGAGGAATTGAATTTTCAAGTATAATGAGGAAGAAATTTGTCTGAACCCGAAGTGACAGTTAAGTTTTCGCATTGTACATTACCGTACATCACAGCCAATGATATCGAGAAAAAAGATGTTGAATGAAAGTGAATTTTATGATAGTGCTCACTGATAGAAGCGAAGAGAAAGAGAACAAACAGAAAGAACATAATAATGAACAATTTCTGATTGGACGGTTGCATAACTATCAGATTCTGCATTAAACGAAAGCTAACTGATAATGAATTCATTCAATCAGACAATATTAATTTGCTATGTTTTGCATTATCAATTTGAGCTCTTTTCGATGAAGCATTATAAATTATAGCATTTATTTGGTAATATGTTCGAATAATCTGTTGTGGATTGATTCTAAGACAAACAATAAGCCAAGGCTGTAAAATGACAATCCACTCTAATTTTGAACAATGATTGGCTATCATTTCTACGCAGATGAGGCGCAAAAATTCTCATCAAAGCCACAATAATTCAATAAATGATTTTCATTTTCTCACTTTCACTGGCTGCAGTTAAGTTGTTGTTTTCACAATGAAATAAACCGATCAATGATGTGTATTCCTTGATTTATTAACAAATTATGGCGAAAAGCTTTCGTTATGAAGAAAAAGGATTATTCCCTGTAAAGTAACCTAAATCTCAACCTCCAGTTTATATTGTAAACTTATATCAGTGAGTTGAAAACTTTGGTAAGACTCAGATAGGGGCGAAATCTAATCAACATGGCTAGTAGTTCTGTTGAACTATGCGGTCATCATGGTCTATTTGCGGGTGTGAACCAGCCTATCGACAGCCACAGCAGCGCGCTTTGCCACTGAGCCGTCGAAACCAATTAAGTGAGAATCATTTTATTTTGATTGCCTCTAACATTTTCTCGTTTTCAACTATTCATTATGGGTAAAGATAGAACTGCGAAGACAGCCGGAACGAAAAACTCGTCATAAATCAGATTTGGTCTTAAACCCGACAAAAATTATAAGATATACCGAAATACTGATATCTCTGCATTGCGCATAGATAAACTTCTTCTGCTTGAAAAGAGCTAATTAATAAAAGCTTTCTTTCAACATTTCTAGCTTCTTTTGTAGTCGAATAACATATAAACAAAACAACATTATGAATAGTGTACATAGAGCACAGGAAAACTGTGAACATTAATCCACATCCATTCTCAGCGTCTTATATTCGACTGAAAGTCACTCAATGTTGCGGTTTCAGTCTTTCAATGGTGATCGGCATCGTACAATTCAAAACTGAGAGCAGTTTATTTCATTGGACTCACGGCTGAAAAGAATGCCATGCCGCTGGATTTATGAGATTGTTTAGTCGTGAATGTGTCACTGTCTAAGATGGACTCAGCTTTTCATAAGAGTATGAAAGTATCAGTTTTGTGGTGTTGTATTCGGTCGCCGTTTATTCTCACTGCCGCATGCTCGAATGCGCAATTCGGTATCGATTACGATCAGTCCAAAGTCCAACGAAATGCTTCAAAGTCGATGATGAATATCCGAATATTGAACGCACTGAACTGTTGGTTTGCATCATCTTACTGATTCGTTGTTATCGGTAAAGTGCCACTTTTAGGTTCGATAAGAACCAAAGGACATGAACAACGATGATATGATGCAACTATGACTTAAGTATTGCATCATTAAGCGTCATTGCAACAATCACGCAATCAAGTTTATTTATTCACTAAACAAATAACGAATTACTCAACGTTTCACTCTGAAAATGCGTCGAACTACAATTGATAATGAATATTATGAGGATAATGATCAGACGAGAACCTGCGTGGGTATGTATTTGGTATATGGAAGTATCACTGTGGAAGCTGCAGTTGAGAAGGATCGTTGGCAGAAGCACATTCAGTACGCATTCTAGACATTGAAATAATTGAATACTACATCCTCGACTGATTTTACAACACCAAACAAATGTAACTAATCGAAACAACAAGAAGAACATTGAAATTGTACAACGAAGATTACAAATACTTAAACTTTACGACGAAGAATGGTAGGACAATCACGTATTATCTGTCAACGAATCAAGTACTAAATCCGATGAAGAACTAAACTTCTCGCGATGAACTTCAGTTTGTCTTCATGACAATATTACGAAATGAAGTGGCTTGTGTAATCGAAGCAGCGTGGCGCAGTGGAAGCGTGCTGGGCCCATAACCCAGAGGTCGGTGGATCGAAACCACTCGCTGCTAATCATTTTATTCTCATTTTGAATGATCACTAACGCATCGTTTCATCCAGATATTTGATTGATCAGATACCAGGAGGACCAATATGGTGCAGAGGAGATATATTAAGCTCATAGCCTAAGGGTGGGAGCAATTCATTATCGTCATTCTTGCTTTTGAATGTGAGAAAGCAATGTCTACGGATATAATCCAATTACTGATGCAGCGATTCACCTGTCGAAGATTTGCACGCACAAATAATGCTTATGATTTATGAGGCAGTCATCTCAACTGAAAATAGCTCCCTAAATACGGTGGTACTCTCGACATCGTGTTGCATTCTTGCTGTGCTACTTGATTGTCACTTAATTAAGTTGTAAGGGATTAGGGGTTGAATTGCTCGCGGAATTCCTAATCACTTTTTGATGCTTGATGTGCTGTTTCAATTAGGAATTGAATTTCGATATTTTTCAGCTGAAAGTGCAACCTTATTTCCACTTTAGACCTGTCGGACGATTGAACAAATGAATTTGGAGAAATGATCACTTTATTGGACATTGCCGTTTGATTAAACAATTTTATTTACAATCGGCGCAATTCGTGAGTGTATTTCTTGCACCGCTAACTTTGGAGTGATTTTATTCTAGTCATTTTGAAGTTGCTGATTCATTTAGAATGAGACTTCGGATGCACTCAAAATGTTTTGTTTGCACACTATGTCGCGAGTCTACGATAAAAGTGACGAATGAAGGGAATTTAATATTTCTTGAAAACAAGCTGCGCAACGTTAGTTCCATCGTTACATTTGAAGATACGTTGATTATTTTTATCGAGCCATTCTGCATGTTTGATTTCATAAATTGGTTTGTAGCCGTATTTCTTGTACAGCTGAAATTCATCTGATTTTGATGAAACTGTCTTGAAGAGCTCTTCAAAGAAGGAATTTAGTTTATTAAGTGAATGCCTGAAAGGTCTTAAACTTTCGCGACAATGTGCTCGTTTGGCAGTATTGTTTCTTACTGACGTGAGCTGACATTGAACAATACAACTTTCCATTGAACTACTTTCAACAATTGTCAATACGATGAATCGATAGAGTCATAAGAACTTTTAAGTAACCCAATAATGATGAATACTTTTTGAATTTGTTCAGCATTCAACCTTAATCTTAAATTGACATCAGTTAAACAGAACGGTTCTTCAATGCCATAAGAGGTCATGTTTTGAGAAGTGAATTCTTATACCATTATGAGGATTCAAAATACAGAGTGAATCCAGCTACCACCATTCGAAAAGCTGTTTACTGTCCAAGTGTTATTGATCGTAAGTTTTTTCATCACTTGAGAATCTTTTAAAAAAATGCTCACATTTTGTGATCTATAAGCAGTGGCCTCTGAGATTGCACCATCAATGCCCATACTCTTTTGCTTATCCATATCGCATTCGAGCAATCTGCTCACCAGACCTCGATGTGTCCAATTGCGATGACAACACAATATCACCACATTCAGTAAGCGGTTCACTTCAGACCCAACAAGTTCCCACGTCTGAAATGTTTCCAAGCAATTTGTCACATTTACACTGTCACTTTGAATCGAATTCTGCCAAAATTTCATTCAGCTTTGAACTGTGAATTTTGTATAAGCGTTTAACAATTAATAGTTTCCTCACACTCAGAATTGATGGAAAGAGATACGAACTGTGAAAAATTCATCAAAATGATGCTATTGATGGTAGTTCTTACTGCAAGCGCTGCAGATCATACTAGATATTTGTATAACTGCCACACTTTTCATTTGATGTTTGATGAGGGCACTGTAATATCATCAGTTTTTACCTTATTTTCGAGTTCACTTACAATACGAGAAATCTCGTGCGCTTTGGAACCGAGTTTTGCTGATTCTTCAGCTGATAAAGAATCGACGAGAGAGAAGAAGCCTTTCTCCTGAAAAAAGAACTGCAATTTCCGTGAAATGATGCAGAATGGAAATTTGTTTTGGAATCGAAATTTTGTTAGCAATAAAAGCGTTTGCCTCAAGTCATAATCGACTTTCGGAATTTGTTTTGGTATTCACAGCGATAAAAAACGACAATTTGGAAGTGATATAAAGAAGTTTAGGAAAATTTCCATGACTATCGGCTGAAAACTTTCATTCAGATTTTTAGAACATACAATGAGCATAAATGAATGAATCCATATATTGCACTTACATCGTTGTGTTCTGGTCTCTCAATAATATTACATAAACGCATTGCAGCTAATTTCCCCTCTGGAGTTTTGAATGCATATGATACTGGTGATGAGACTGTTGAACGGGTTAGTTCTGTAACAGTTATCTGCATTCGAATATCGGATATTCAAGTGCATGATAAGACTATCACATAAGGAAGCAGTTCTTTGCTCTTACACTCCCAAGTCAATGTTTCCTCGGGTTGGTAACCGTAAGACTTTGATAATTTGCTTGCAGATTTTATCATTAATTCATTCTTCAATGCATTGACATAACCTTTCACGATCAAGAATAACATTATGTGTTATTTGTACGAGAGTGGAAATATTGCCCATTGACGAAATTTAGTGATTTAGAATGAATGCACTTCGAAATGCTTGAAGCTTGTAGAGATCAGAGAGGAAGATGGCTTTTTTTATAGAATGGATAGATAACGAAAATACATGAATGGATATAGCTGTCCTTCTGATAGAAACATGTTATTATCTAAAAAGTAAAATTTGCACCTTTAAAAAGCCAATGTGCTTCATTTCGTGTAAGATTCAGCGCATTGCTCAACGGTTCATTGCGAATGAAATCGTCCAACAACAACTCCAAAACGTCGTCGAAATCCTTGTCACTCAGTTGTATCAACTTTAGACGATTCACTTCTGCTGATTTATCTCCATTCCGCTCCTTAACCACCGTACCAAATGTAAGAAATGTAATGTTACTTCAAGATGCTTTTCACTTCTTTATACACAATTTATTCATTGATAACTTCTCACACATTCCTCTCACTAACAGATCAATATTTGAGGGTAATCTTATTCGAATTCATTCAAAAAAACGAACCCAGGCCTATGATTAGAGTTCCACAAATGTGACTGTTTGCGTCACTTTGCAAAGCGATGTTTTGCTAGGAATGTGAGAACGGATTATGAATGTGATTGCACTGACGATGAGAAGAACACGTCTCCAGTCAATGATAGACCTTATGTATAAGAGTTTGAAGAGACTCTTCCATCGGAGAGGCAAACTTAATTATGCACTTGAACACAGTTCACTATTTTGAGTGGTCAAGTATGAATCAACTAGGGTGTCGAACATGCATGCTTTCAGCGTGCCTGGTCAAGGTGGATTTCACCATTTCTACTTCGTGAAACTTGACAAAATTAATGTACGTCAAACACCAACGGTAATTGATGACAATAAACGGTGCTGTGAGATGGAAGTCGGCGATCGCGCATTGATACGACTGCAGATCGAATTGAACTCGTGAAAAATGCTCGATGAAGAGTAGAATGAACGGTTGAAGACATTGATCAAATTAGATACATTAGAAATGAATCGATGATTGCGATAAATCCAAGTCGCACTCTTGAACAGCATTGTCCACTGGAAACTCACCTCAAATTTCGTATTTTTGCAAAGAGCTGCTTGCAAATAGTAACGATACCAGTGCATCATCTATCTCACCGGGTTTATCACANTGATGATGACTTCAAAATTCCTTATTTAGAGAATTTGAATTCGTCATTAAGCTTCGTTTCACCATTGAAAATGTGCAATGAAATGAATTAAACTGGAAAGATTGTGTTGAGAGAATGCAACGAGACGAACTGTTATTGGAGGGTATCGGGTAGATACTGAAAATGCGATTGAAGAATGCGAGGAATCGAGATGGGGAATAAGTTCGACTGAAAGAAGTAACACGCGTGAAGCGAGATGATACTTGATACTAAAACTGAATACTTAATATATGTTGCTCAGTTGTATATATGCAGGTTGGATTCAACTTGTTCGAAATTATAATGTACATAAATAAATGAATGTTACATGAATGAAAAACTTTGGTTACATTTATCTTTATAATCTCTCTCTTCGGCATTTATTATGCTACAGAATGAACTCGTTAACTCGGAGACATAGGAGTTAATTAGAGGATGGGAACAAATCTTAGCGATGAAGTCGATGTTTAAGCTAGGGATTACTTGCGAAGGCTGGCATGCAAAATTTTTGAATAGGAATGGTTGTTGGATGTACTCGAAGAGTATGGGGAAATCGAATTGCGAGAAGTAACTCGAAAGGCACTTCTTGAGTGCTACCTGATAATAGGAATGAGTGTGCGAATGAGTGTCTCGACTACTTGTTGAAGACTAGTTATTTGCTATTTGCATTTGAGAAAGAGATTTTGAAGAGATGTCAAAATTCATTTTGTTTGATGAGAATTCTTCTTGAGCATATGTTTACTTCATTATGTAATGCAGTTATTGACAAGCGTTTGCTCCTGTCTTACCACCTCTACGACTTGATCAATAAAACGCTATTATGGCTGAGACGAACTGGAACATCAAAGNAATGCTTATTTACGAGGCAAATGTGCCTTACCATGCCACAAAAACTCCAATCAACTTTCAACTGACTTCGTTCAGATTCAGTAATCGTTTTCTGAGGCAAAAACTATTCTTGAGCCGTCTTATCATCAGATAAAGAGTGCAGACAGAAAAGTTGCTCAGCGTATGAAAAAGGTTCTTTCAAACGTATGAAAAACGAATCTTTTTGAAATTTTGAATTTGAATTTTTGATCTTTTCAAAGTTGTTTTGGAACAATGAACATAATTTTGATGGATAACATATTTCAGTACTCATGACAGATATCCTGAGCAGAGCTATGATGAATGATGCGAATTGACTTGCAGAGGTGAACGTGTAGCAGTTCAACTTCAGCTATCATTCTGCATTAGCATTACTAAAGTATCCAGATCAGGCACTCATCATCAAGCTTTCATGAAATGTTTGCGTGTTCTCAAATGAGAAGCTCGTGATATTGCTGCAGAAACGAATCATTGATCGCAGTAAAGTGATCAAATGTGCAGAGTTGGGCGGTATTATAGAATGGCTCATGTAGTTTGAGTTATCATCAGAAAAGCAGTTATATCTTTTGAAATGAGCGAAATCTGTCGGCAAGATATATATCGTTCTGAATGCTGAGAATCTGCTGAATCCGATGGTAACAAGAAATGCTGGTGTTGCTGTGCAAACTTGAGAGTACGGGTAGTTTGAAAATGGTTCTCGTGATATTACTCGTGATATTACTGGTTCTCGTGATATTACTGAATCACACTGAAAAGATCAAATCTGCACAGTTTGGTGATATCATGGAAAACCTTAAGTTGTATGACATACGGTATTATAGAATGGCTCAAGTACTTTGACATGAACAAATGTTAGTTTTTTGATGTGGTAATGAGCATTGGTAATGTGAATTGTACTGTATCGAAGTAGTGGACTGAAAATGCGAATTAGGAATCAACTGGTTTCAACGGCGGAGTCGTTGCGGGTGCTGATGATAGGTCTGATCCAAGAAGAACTGGTTTCCGTTGAACTTATTTGGTCGTCGGGAATTTTGTCAGTTTTAATAAAGACCTAAAGAACTGATGGAGCGGAGTGTTGAGATAGTAGACGTTTTATGATGTTTTCGGGAGGTTACGCTTTGTGCCTGTGGTCAACCAGGTATTGGCGATGTGTTTTTCTAATGTTTGATAGGCTTTGTTACCGATGGGTTCATTGGTTGAAGAATGTGATAAGCGGATTTTCACTATATCACGATTGAGTGTTTCGAATACTGCTGCAAATTCTCTTCACTTAATAACTGATACAGTGATTCTGATGTGTCCGGAGTTGATCATTTGTTTGAGAAATTTTAATGAGTTTCGTTCATTTGCTGTTGAGAATTTCTTTTCTCGATCTAGGACTTTGCTTTTCTCCGTTGACTTGTTCTACCGATAACATTGCCTTCGAACTCAAAACCAGTTTTCATCACATGGGTTATGCACTACTTTGGTCCACTGATTTGGAAAAATCAAATTCAACACAATCTCATCAAGCACTCTACGCTACTGTCCCATTCCCTGCTTTTATACCTCACTTTCTCCTCCGTCCTCTACACATCAACCATTTACAGCATCAATTTATCACCACAATTCGACCAAGTCATTGCGTTTCAGATCACGCAAAAAATCCAAAATCAGAAGAAATGTTTCATGCCCTGAAATGCCTTGAATAACACAGCTCATCATTCCATTTCAATATCCCTACAATATCATCAACCAAACAATCACCAATTCATGTACTATTACCGTGATCCTATCCAGAAGCAAAACAGTTAAATCAACAAAACCAATACTATAGTATTATTGTTCGCTGTATCACTCAGCATAATATCAATAATATGCTAGTGATGGTCTTATTATCGAAATTTTGGCGATAAATCTGGTGCTCTGTCGTCACTGTTTCTACTGTCATTACTACTATTGTATCATTATTATCATCATCACTGTTATTATTAT